CTACATCCACCTTCAGTGACGTGGCCATCGGCAGCACAAGGAACAGCCAAAAGCAGCTTTGCCCAGCTGTTGCCGAGCTGCGCCGCATCTACGCACATGGCATCACTGTTGCGTCGCCAAGGAGCTGTCAGCCTGCCCCACGCAGGCCCACAGCCTCCGCCACAGCGAAGGGCACAGGAAATGTGAGCACGGTCCTGCGCAACAACAGCACTGAGAGCCGGGGGCCCTGCCAGCAGGCAGTGGCATGCCAGGGCCCAGCATACGGCAGGGCTGCAATGACAAGAAGATACGCTGTCAGGGCAGCTAACGGCAGCAAGGCCACTGCCACTCAGCCTGCTCCTGATCCTAACACCCGTGCGAGCACTGGTGCTTCCCAGAGCAGGAAGACGGGGCGAGAGGCAGAGCGCCAGCGAGCAATGCTGGCAGCAGACATCGAGGGCTGCCTCAATGGCAAGTTGCTGGGGCTGCACAAGAAGGTTCTTGCAAAGCCTCTGCCCGCAACTTTGCAACAGGCCAGGAGGAGCCGCTTGGCCAGAGCTCCTGAGGAAGAGCAGTACCAGGCACCTCTCGTTCCCATGGCAGCAGCACCAGAATCTCGTGGCTTTAGCAGGCAGGCTGCTGCAGCACAAGCCCAGCACCAGTCACCTGCCCTGCACTCTGTCCCAGTGCATGTTGCAGATGTGCAAGTGTCGTGCAGCACCGTCTCGAAGTGCCACTTCAGGGATGTGGCCAAAGAGGAGGCAAAAGTACCATTCTTTCCTGAGTGTGGCCAGCAGGCTGCACCGGGACAGATGCAGCGCCAGGCACCTGCCCTGAACAGCTCCGCAGAAAATGACACAGATCTGAATGTCCCATCCAGGCGCATCAAAAAGAAGGTCCCTTTCAGAGATGGTGTCGAGGAGGCAGAGGCACCAGCCTCTCCTGGCATCGGCAGGCAGGCTGCAGCAGGACGAGCGCAGGGCCAGGCACCTGCCCCGCACAGCCACAAAGGAAACAACATGGATCTGGAGGTTACACCCAAGAGGATCCTGAAGAAGGTCCTTTTCAGACATGCTGCTGAGGAGGAGGCAGAGACCCCAGCCTCTTGTGGCTTTGACAGTCAAGCTCCAGCAGCAGAAGCACAGTGCCATGCAACTGCCCCAGTCAACGTCAGAGTAAGAGGTGAAAAAAGTGCAGGACACATCCAGTGTCAGCGCAATCTACCAGTTCTGGGATGTGAACGAGGAGGAGGCAGAGGAAAGAGATTCTCCTGACGATGGTGAGCAGGAGGAAGCACCACAGGAGCAGAGTCAGGCACCTGCCCTGCTCAGCCCACATACATATGAGTTGGTTCCACGGGGAGCAGCCCTGCTCATCACAAGGCAGCCTCTGGTCCAGGCTGTGGCTGTGGATCAGGAAACCAGCCAGCAGCTGGTGGAACCTCAGGACATGAGCCAAATCCGGGATGTGGCAGTGGCCAAAGAGGAGAAAGAGAGGGAAGAGGGCACTGAAAAAGTGCTGTCCCAAGTGGAAGAGGTCACCGTACGCAACCTCTGGGTCAACCCTTCAGTCCCGGAGCTCTTCCAGGACCCCCGGGCAGATACCCAGGAGGGGTCTGAGTTCCCCAGCAGCAAGGGCAAGGATGCGACAGGAGAGGCAGCTGGTCAGCTGGGGACTTGCAGAGAGCGTCTCCTGTGCCAGCCGTTCCCACGGACACCAACCTGGCAGCTTCTACACTGGGTGAAGCTGCAGAGGAAGAGGAGCACTGCCCACCTCTCACTCCTGTGTCACAAGAGGAGGAGGCAGCACCGGCACCAGCGTCTCCTGTCTGTGGCGAGGAGGAGGCAGCACCACAGGCACAGAGGCAGGTACCTGCCTGCTCAGTCCAGATGCCTGTGAGATGGCTGCAGAAGAAATGGCCATGAACAATACTGGACTGTTCCAGGAAGCCAGCCAGCAGCTGGTGGAACCCTGGGACATGACCCAAATCCTGGATGTGGCAGTGGCCAAAGAGGAGAAAGAGAGGGAAGAGGGCACTGAAAAAGTGCTGTCCCAAGTGGAAGAGGTCACCGTATGCAACCTGTGGGTCAACCCCTCTCTCCCGGAGCTGTTCCAGGCCCCCCAGGTCGATATCGAGGAGGGGTCTGAGTTCCCAAGCCGCATGGGCATGGATGCAACAGGGAGGCGGGTGGAGACCCGCAAAGCGTGTCTCCTATCACAGCCAGTCTCTTGGAGCAGGAGGAAGCACCACAGGCACAGAGCCACGCACCTGCCTTGCTCAGCCCTGATGCCTGTGAGATAGTTCTAGAGGAAACAGCCAAGCTTATCACAAGGGAGGTCCTGCTGAAGGCTGTTTCTGAGGTCCACGGAGCCGAGCAGCAGCCTTTGGAACAGCAGGACATGTCCCACATCTTGGATGTGACAGTGGAATCATTGACACCTGCAGCAGCTGGGGACGCTCAGTCTCCTGTGGCTGCAGAGTCTCATATGGAGACCGGCACAGCCTCTCCCATCCCAACAGCAGATGAGGCTGAAGAAGACAGGGCATCTTCCACATCTGGAGAACATCAGGGAGAGGCCAGCACAGCCCTTGTTTCCCCCAAAGCACATGAGGGTGAAATGACAGCTTCGTTGCCTCAGAAGGCTGCAGCAGTGGTTCGAGCACCCTACTTTGCACCAGGAGCAGGCGATGAAGGAGAGGCAGTGTCGACTCCCTTGGCTTGGGACTCTCGTTACCTGGTAAGTGAGGTGCCTGCGGCCAGTACTGGGGATCCTGAGGTGCTGGAGGCGAGCGCAGCTCCCGGGGTGTGTGTGGCAGGGAGATTCCCGCTGCTCCCTGTGCCAGAGCTTCTGGAGGAGCTGGAGGGGAGCAGTATGGCCCACAACAGGCCCGGGCTCGACATGCAAAGGAGAGCCAGCCAAGCGGGCTGCCTGCTGGGTAGCTCTGTGAAGAGAGAGCTCCAGCATGAGGAGAGCAAGGGGCATCATTTGCCACCCAGGCAGAGATGGATGCCCAGTCACAGGCAGGTGATTGCCAAGGACAGGGTGGGACGTGACAGGGGTATGAGTCTTCCTCTGCCTGTGGCCAGCCACTGCTCCGTAAAGTCATCTTCTGCATTCCTGTTGTGTGGTTACAGGAGGTGCCAGGGACCTGGGATGAGGAAGCTGATGATGAAGAGTTTGAGAGAAAGGAAGAGGAGGAGTGGGAAGAGGCCATAGACAAAGAGCCGTCCGAAGTGGAAGAGATCACCATACACAGCCTCTGGGTCAACCCTTATGTCCCAGAGCTCTTCCAGGAGCCTCAGGCAGATATCCAGGAGGGGTCTGGCTTCCCCAGCAGCATGGGGAAAGATGTGACAGGAGAGGCAGCTGGGACTTGCAGAGAGCGTCTCCTGTGCCAGCCGTTCCCACGGACACCAAACTGGCAGCTTCTACACTGGGTGTAGCTGCAGAGGAAGAGGAGCACTGCCCACCTCTCACTCCTGTGTCACAAGAGGAGGAGGCAGGACTGGCACCAGCGTCTCCTGTCTGTGGCGAGCAGGAGGCAGCACCACAGGCTCAGAGGCAGGTACCTGCCTTGCTCAGTCCAGATGCCTGTGAGATGTCTGCATTAGAAATGGCCATGAACATCACTGGACTGTTCCAGGAAGCCAGCCAGCAGCTGGTGGAACCTCGGGACATGACCCAAATCCTGGATGTGGCAGTGGCCAAAGAGGAGAAAGAGAGGGAAGAGAGCACTGAAAAAGTGCTGTCCCACGTGGAAGAGGTCACCGTACACAACCTCTGGGTCAACCCCTCTCTCCCAGAGCTGTTCCAGGACCCCCAGGTCTATATCGAGGAGGGGTCTGAGTTCCCCAGGAGCATGGGCATGGATGCAACAGGGGAGGCGGGTGGAGACCCGCAAAGCGGGTCTCCTATCACAGCCAGTCTCTTGGAGCAGGAGGAAGCACCACAGGCACAGAGCCACGCACCTGCCTTGCTCAACCCTGATGCCTGTGAGATAGTTCTAGAGGAAACAGCCAGGCATATCACAAGGGAGGTCCTGCTGAAGGCTGTTTCTGAGGTCCACGGAGCCGAGCAGCAGCCTTTGGAACAGCAGGTGCCAGGGACCTCGGATGAGGAAGCTGATATGAGGAGTGTGACAGGAAGGAAGAGGACACAGACGAAGGGCTGTGCGAAGGGGAAGAGATCACCTCCTCCAGGTTCTGGGTCGACCCTTTGGTCGCAGAGCCCTTCCAGGACCTCCAGGAGGATATCGAGGAGGGGCCTGGCTGCTCCAGCAGCGTGGGCATGGATGTGGCAGAAGAGGCTACTGCAGGCCTGCAGACCATGTCTCCTACTCCAGCCGGACCCACAGACACTGAGTCGACAGCTTCTACATTAGCTGTAGCTGCAGAGGAAGAGGAGCACCATGCACTTCTCACTCCAGTGGCACAGGAGGAGGTGGCACCGGCACCAGTGTCTCCTGCCTGTGGTGAGCAGGAGGCAGCACCCCAGGCACAGAGCCAGGCACTTGCTCTGCTCAGCCCACACGCCTCTGAGATGATTCTAGAAGAAATGGCCAGGAGCATCACCAAACAGGTCCTGATCATGAATCTGGCTGTGGTCCAGGAACCAGCCAGCAGCTGGCAGAACATCAGGACATGACCCAAAACTTAGATGAAGCAACAGCAGTAATGGAATCTGCGGGACTGGGGCACTGAGTCTCCTGTGTGTGGAGACCATCAAGGAGAGGCTGAAACAGGCATTATCTTACCAGAAACACAGCAAGAGGAAGTGGCAGCTTCATGGACTGAGATGCCTGTGGCAGAGGCTGGAGCATGCCACTGTGCCCCTGAAGTAGCCAACGAAGGAAATGCAGGAGCTACTGCCTCTGCTCGTGAATCTGAGCACCTGGTGAGCGAGGAACCTATGGCTGGCACCGGAGATACTGACGAGATTCAAGCAGGAGTCTTGCATGAGCTATCTGTGGCAGGGAGGTTCCCGCTGCTCCCTCTGCCAGAGCCTCTGAGGAGCCGCAGAGGAGCAGCATGGCCCACACCAGGCACAGGCTCCACATGCAAAGGACAGCCAGCCTGCCTTGGCTGCTGGGCAGCTCTGTGGAAAGGCAGCTCCAGCAGCAGGAGGGCCGGAGGCCTCGTGCGGCCTTGCGGTGCAGACGGATGCCCAGTCGCAGGCAGGTGAGTGCCAAGGACAGGAAGGGAAAGGACAGGGGGATGAACCTCTGCCTCTGGCCAGCCACTGCTCCACCCAAGTGAAGCCTACTCACCTCCTGCATCCCTCTTGTGTGATTACAGGTGGCGCCAGGGACCTTGGATGTGGAAGCTGATGATGAGGAGTTGGAGAGAAAGGAAGAGGAGTGGGAAGAGGCCATAGACAAAGAGCTGTCCGAAGTGGAAGAGCTCACCGTACACAACCTCTGGGTCAACCCTTATGTCCCAGAGCTCTTCCAGGACCCCCAGGCAGATATCCAGGAGTGGTCTGGCTTCCCCAGCAGCATGGGCATGGATGTGACAGGAGAGGCAGCTGGGGGCTTGCAGAGAACGTCTCCTGTGCCAGCCGTTCCCATGGACACCAAACTGGCAGCTTCTACACTGGGTGTAGCTGCAGAGGAAGAGGAGCACTGCCCACCTCTCACTCCTGTGTCACAAGAGGAGGAGGCAGCACCGGCACCAGCGTCTCCTGTCTGTGGCGAGGAGGAGGCAGCACCACAGGCACAGAGGCAGGTACCTGCCCTGCTCAGTCCAGATGCCCGTGAGATGGTTGCAGAAGAACTGGCCACGAACATCACTGGACTGTTCCAGGAAGCCAGCCAGCAGTTGGTGGAACCTCGGGACATGACCCAAATCCTGGATGTGGCAGTGGCCAAGGAGGAGAAAGAGAGGGGAGAGGGCACTGATAAAGTGCTGTCCCAAGTGGAAGAGATCACCATACACAACCTCTGGGTCAACCCTTACGTCCCGGAGCTCTTCCAGGACCCCCAGGCCGATACCCAGGAGGGGACTGGCTTCCCCAGCAGCAAGGGCAAGGATGTGACAGGAGAGGCAGCTGGGGACTTGCAGCGAGCGTCACCTGTCCCAGCCGTTCCCACGGACACCAAACTGGCAGCTTCTACACTGGGTGAAGCTGCAGAGGAAGAGGAGCACTGCCCACCTCTCACTCCTGTGTCACAAGAGGAGGAGGCGGCACTGACACCAGCTTCCCTTGGTGCTGATGAGCAGGAGGCAGCACCACAGGCACAGAGCCAGGCACTTGGCCTGCTCAGTCCAAATGCACAGGAGGGGGTTCCACAGGAAGCAGCCGTGCTCATCACAAGGGAGCCTCCGGTCCAGGGTGTGGATCAGGAAACCAGCCAACAGCTGGTGGAATATCAGGACATGACCCAAATCCTCAGTGTGTCAGTGGCAGCATTGACGCCTGCACCACTTGAGGACATTGAGTCTGCTGTGTCTTCAGAGCCTCAGGGAGAAGCCAGCGCAGCTGTTGCCTCCCCAACAGCGCCTGAGGATGAAGTGGCCCCTCCCTTGACTGAGATTCCTGCAGCAGAGGCTGGAACATCCCACGTTCCTCCAGGAGCAGATGCAGCAGCTTCTCCCTTGTCTCGGGACTCTCGGCGCCAGGTGAGTGAGGCGTGTGTGGTTGGCACCGGGGATCCCAAGGCCTTGGACGGCAGCTCCCAGGGGGTTTGTGACAAGGCTGTTTCCGGTGCTCCCTGTGTCATCCCACTGACATTGCCCCCATCCCCTGCCTGTGCTTTTGCTACCCTGCAGGGTAGGATCAGACGCTTTCTGAGGAAACACCTGGGCAAGGCTGTGGCTGTCATCCAGGAAACAAGGCAGCAGCAGGTGGAAGAGCCAGACGTGGCACAAAGCTTGCATGTGGAATTACCATCAATGTCGCCTGCTGTAGTTCAGGACAGCGAGAACCAGCCAGGTACTTCCTCGAGTTGGGTGGCACCCAGGCCAGGCCGGCAGCAGTGTGTGCATGGGTTCGGGTGTGTCCCAGCCTCCCCTCCACGGGCTGAGGGCTGCAAGCCTTTGGTGGAAAGCGCCACGAGGATGATCAGGGGGTTGGGGCACCTCCTGTATGAAGGCAGGTTGAGAAGGCTGGGGCTGTTCAGCCTGGAGAAGAGAAGGCTGCGTGGAGACCTCATAGCAGCCTTCCAGTATCTGAAGGGGGCCTATAGGGATGTTGGGGAGGGACTCTTCGTTAGGGACTGTAGTGATAGGAGAAGGGGTAACGGGTTAAAACTTAAACAGGGGAAGTTTAGATTGGATTTAAGGAGGATGTTCTTTACTGTAAGGGTGGTGAGGCACTGGAATGCGTTGCCAAAGGAAGTCCCTCACCTACAGCTCTTCTTCCCCCACAGGCATTGCCACTCTTCCAGACCCAGGAGCGGCCCCACGGCGACGACTGAACCGCTTCAGGAGAGTGCTGAGGTCTCTGCGCAAGGCTTTCCGTTTCTCCTGCCTCACCCCACGTGTGGAGGAGTAGCGCTCTGCTGCCAGCGCCAGGCCCAAGGGAGCTGCGCTGAGGATGTCATGCTGCAGCCTACACTTGTTGTGGGTGCTTTCTTGGGCCAATAAATAATAACTCTTTCTCCCTACCACCCCAGTGCTCGTCTCTGCCTGTATGTTGGTTGGAACATATTTGTGTAATTCATGGACCTCTCTATTTAATTAGCGTAAAACTACTGACTTCAATCTAAGCGGCTACCTATCTGTTGCAATTAGTTCTTGTTTGATAATTAATTGCCAACTGATGATTAAGGACTCGTTTACTGAGGTTCAGCAGCAATCAAGACATGTATGTAGTTCTTGGGGGATTTACTACGCAGTAACTGGTTTGTTGAATTAAATTCTTATTGGAGACCTTTAAACTGCGACCTGAGAAAACTTCTCTGCAGCCAGTGGGTCCTCTAAGTGCTTGCCCGTGTATCTGCTGCCATGGGCAGTGTTGCTCCTAAGAGGAGGAGACAGAGTGGATCCTCCTGGCTCACTGTGGGGAGTAACTTGCTTCCATCTGCAAGCTGAAGGTGAGGAAAAGCAGAATCTCAGGTCTTGGCAGAGTTGGTGGAGCAGCTCTGCCGACATAGGCTCCCAAATACCGTCTGTCTGGTCTGACAGTTGTGCTTCATCTTTGTCTCTCCGCTGATGCTCATCACATGTCTCACTGCAGAGACGCTGACACGAACGGAGCCTTTTTCTACTGAGACTTGTTTGCCAAGTGGCTTTGGCTTCTGCATGCAGGGTTTTGGGTTTGCCTTTTTTGACAATGTACTGGATGGTTTTGTTGAATTAAGTCTCTGTGGGTTTGTTTGCACATTTAGCCCTTGTGTTACGGTCTCTCTGGTCACCAAACCCCAACTTTCTCGATAGGCAGTATGAGCTATGCAAAATAGTTCAGGCACGCTACTACTATGCAAGCATAGAAATTCTCTCTTTTGCATTAGTCCACAATTAAAAGTAGGTTTTAGTCAGAGTTTCGATTCTGTTGTCTTTGGCCTGAGGCATAACTGAGATTTTACAGGGAGCCTGATTTAAATTTTGGCTTTATAAAATGTCTTAGTTTTGAAGCAAGTAACTAAAATATTTATGATGTGAGATACTCAGTAGTGGCTTTGCAATTCATTTTAAATTATTGATAGCACAGTTATCTAGAAAGGTCTAAATACCAGTGTCACAATGCTCTCCAGTGTTCACTAGCTGTAGAGCTGCATGACAAAAGTCCAGTTATGTTCCTCAGTATTTTGCTATACCGGGAATGTGGCCTGTAACTCCTCTGGGTTCTATTCGTGGCGTCATGGTCTCTCCAGCACAGGCCATAGATGACCTGGTTTCACCTATGGGACGCACAGCAGCAGGACTTAGAATCCCTCATAGCTATTTTTTTTTGACGAAAAAATAACCCTATGTGTCCTGTGTAGAATGAATTATATGCCAACTGGTAATGTTACCTCAGGGCTTAACTGCTCTGCTTAGCCTGTAGAAGCTTTGGTTGCTCATGACAGCCCATCATTTCAGCAGTTCACTTGTCCCACTTGGTTCTCAAATGATGTTATCTGAAGCTACAGGACTGGTTTGAGTTTGTGAAGACATTCGCTTATCCCTATGGCTATCACTTCCGACATGATACTTGAATCTTTGCAATAACTAAATGCCAGTGAATTTAGGATCTGGTATTCAAAGATTGGCCTTTCTTGACAACTAATTGACTTCTTTTGCAGTTTCCAAGGAGGTGAGTGACCATGTACACCCCCACTGCAGTATTTTACCTGTAGTTGAGGGTGGAGGGAGCCATCAGAACACTTGCAGTTGGAATTTCATGCTCAGGAGCTGTACTCTGAGCCAAAGTACATTTCCAGAAAAACTATGTACAACTTGATCCTTTGTGATTCTTTCCGAGTCATCAGCCCTGTAGGAACAAGCGTCTGCACTTGGAGGAAGCCTTTAAGGGACTGAGCTGGAGACACTACTGACGACAAGCAAAGAAAATGAAGTCTGTAGCAGACCCAGGGTCATCCTGAGATGCTTCTGTTGCTCATCCCTGTTCTTTTGCCTCAGGCTGCTTTGGACTAGTTTGACATACAGGTCTCATGTTGTGAAATGCTGAAGTAAGCAGATCTGTATCTGTGACAATGGAACCTGTTCCTGATTAGATCTTGGAGCGGTACTGTAATGCACTGTTCTTGATTCCTGCCTGGCAACTCGTGTGCCTTCCCTTTGGTTTCTCTGGTTTTACGTTCAGAAGCTCTTAGCCCCAGTCTCTGGGTACCCTGGGAATTACCAGGTGGTGTATATTGAGCTGCTATTTATACCTGGTGGGCTTGACTGTTGCATCAGCTATGTGCAGTCTGTATTTCCTCCTTCTTCTCCAGCAGTAGCAACCAGGCAGCAGAAAGCCAACTGTTATATTTGACATTACATGTACAAACTACGTCAAAATTCAGTGTTCAGACGGAGAAGTCGGGTACTAGCATCAACCAGCTTCCAAGGGCGGCTGTTCATGCCAGTGCCAGATCGAGCCCGCAGGGGGGGCAGCAGCGACCTCATGTTTTACTCTAGCAACGTGCTCAGCTGCTGGCATCCCTCTCCACCCGTGGGATTTGCCGCGGAATAAACAACTGCACGTTGTGGAGGATTAGCATCAGCCCTGAACTCAAACAGATTCAAAAGCGGACCAAAAACACAATTGTGTGACTAAGTTAAGCCTCATGGTATTTATTAATATATGTGTTTTAACCATATTAAAAGAAAAAGAGCTGCATGAGAAAACTCAGCTGCATGTGAATTTCCAATCTGTCACATTTACAACAGGTAAGTTTAATGGTAGATAACAATAGGCAAGAGAAAGAAAATATCCAGAATATGTGTACCTGAATGTACTGGGCAAGACTAACAGGAGAAGAAAAGTGGTTTTCTTTTTTTCCCAAATCTCTTCAGGAATCTTTCAAGGTTCAAGTTACTGTAACCATGACTGTAAGACTGTGCCTTTGGGTGGTTGGACCATGTGCTTTCCCAAGTGTGTTCTGAGTCTTTATAAAAACAGCCATCATGGTTACGAGGAGATTTTGAGTAAGAGGACGTGTCTACACGCAGGCGTGTCCAGTCAGACTAGGAAGTGCTGTCTTTATTTAGTATGAGAAGGCAAAAGGCATTCAGCTCCTGAAAAAGAGCCAGTACTTTGTGTGTCTTAAATCAAATTGCATTCACCAGCTAATTAAGGGATGGTTTTGATATGCTCTGAAGGGAGGCCTGTCCAGTTCTATACTTCTCAGCTAGAGGGCTCTGCGATACAGTGTGTGGAAGAGAAAATGGGTATGAAGAAAATAGCATGTGAGAAATTAAGACAGCCTCAGCAATGTGTGAATTCCAGGAGTACAGGACAAAAACTAAGTATCTCATATGATCAGATGGCAATTTACTCACTGATGTACTTTTGCGTTCATTTAGATAATTAATTTCTCTAGCCCCAAACTTTCTATCCCTCATGAGCATGGCTGTCATAGAACAATGTATATGCTTCTCAGAGTCTGGCTCATTGCAGTTGCAACTACAGGTGAGTTTTTGCTTCGGATTCCTAAAACTTTCTCTGTGTTTAGGAGCGCTGAGAGATTCTGTCTCTAGTTTATTCAGAATATCCTCGCCGTGTTATTCATAAACGTAATTGCTGGTATGAACTTAAGCCAAAGAAATATCCATCGTGTTTTACGTTGATAGCATGAGGCAGAAGTTACTCTGTGTAAAACTGCTTGTACATTTAACCAGCTCTGATTGATTGCGTAAGTTACTTTGGTTTGGCCACAGCGAATTCTTCGGGGTAAAGGGTAAAGTAGGGCACACAGTGAGAAAGTGCCCTTGCTTGATGCAGATCTAAAAACTCTAATTTAGAATTAACAACAAAGGCCTTTTATGGGATTGTCTCTCCATGCTCTGAAGGCATGCACTGAATACAAAATGACAGGAAAGATTGATTTTGGAGTCGAGATTCATAGAGTAGTTTGGGTTGGAAGGGACCTTTAAAGGTCA